GGTTTGGATGTACCAATATTTCTCCAGAAAAGATTGAGAAAGAAGTGATCACTTATCATCTGGGCTGTGAAGGGGAAGCAAGTGAGCTCACTGACACATTTCCTAAGCAATGCAGAGATGTGGAAAATATGAGAACCTTCACACTGATAGGAAGATTGTGATCTTTAAAAGATATCATGGCCAGGAAGACATCTATTTCCTTGGCTAAAGTACATTCGTATGTGAGGTCTATGCAGTTTGACTGGCCTTGCTTCGCACACTAAAAACTGTAAACACCAAGTTCAGCTATATACCCATCTGGGAAACTTCCTCACTGGGAACACTTTTCCTTTAAGAGGAGAGTCCCTTGAAACAGTAACCCTCGACCGCAGTCTTTGCTGAGGGAAGGACTGAAGAAGAGCATGCCAGGTTGGGTGGCCCTGCTTGAAAACCATCAATCATTGTAGAAACATGCTCACTTTGTTGTTGGCCACCAGTAGCCTTTTGGAAAGGTAATGTGTGCCAGGAGAATGGAGAAATAGACGTTCTTTCTTCAAGGGAACTGTCATTTAGAGCAATAGATATAGAACAAAAATGATGATTTTAATGGCTTGGTGCAGAGATTGCCCAGTTGGGGCTACTTGAGGTAGACAGCGATCAAAGCTGTGGGGACGCTGGGCTTTGAAGTCTCTAAACCAGGCGTAGGTCTATGAAAGCCCAACCAGAATACAGAAAGAGTGAATTGGCTTGTTGGGAAAAAAATAGTTTGAGATGAAGATCTGGGGTCAAGAGTTATAGATGGGAAATATGTTTGATGTAACTACAGAAAGAGAGACAGCAGGATCATGATGAAATGATAAAAATACAATCTAAATGAAATTTGTAGAAATGTCTTTGTAGACATTAATAATAAACAATTTAAGAAAAGTTTAAATGTGAAATAATCTGCTTGAAAATTCAGTTTAATTTCCATTGACGAAGAATTGGGAAAGAATATATGAAGACCAGGAGACAGTGTGAGAAGACAGAAGAAGATACAATAAAGGTATAATGGAAACCAACACAATTAAGCAATTAAGTTTGGACCACAGCGGGTGGGGTGTGGCCTCCGCTTCTGGTTTCGCTTTCGATTCTTACTCCTTTGGCACAAGACGATGCCATGCTTTTTGGTCTTCGCAATGCTTGCAAGGACTGTGTAAGTTTGTTACACCATAAGATTTGTATTTGATGTAACACTGCAAGTTTATGTTTGACTCTGCTAAAAAGAGTAAAGTTTTCTCTTTTTCCCTTTGCAATTGTACAATGTTATTGTGGTTTGGTCAGACTAGATTGAATTCCGCTTGAAACACAACAGATACAACCAATGGACTTAAAATTAAAATGGTTAGAATCTCAATATATTATGTAATATGTGTTAAAGAAATAGAGACGACTTCTTGTAACAATGATAACATTGTAAAAGAACCCCACATCCCTTGACAACCTTCACCCTCTTTGTTTTCTCCTTGCAATATACTAGACATTTGTAAAGATGCTACTAACCAATAATTAATCTATTATCCCCAAAATTTTCCTTTTCCTTCCCTTGTCTCCCCATCCCCTGTTTTCCTAGTAAATGTTTAGTAAAAATTAGTTGGAAAAAAAGATAGAGATGGAGACCTGGTGGTTGTTTTTGTGGCTGCTGCTCTGATCAACTGCTCTGCATATATCTTGTAAACTCTGAGCCATGGCTTTCTTGATTGAATCAATCCGTCTGTAGTGCAGCCTCCCTCTTCCTTCACTACTCTGCACTTTACTACCAAATATTGCCATATTTTCCAATGAGTCACAATGGTCCAGGATATGTAAAAAAATGTGATACTTGCAATTTAGTCCTCTTGGTATCTAAGACCAATTTATTACCTGTACAACCTGCAGCCCTGCAACTGCTTCGGCCTCCAACTCCCAGAATTCCTGGTCATTGAACATGCTAGCTAGATTTTTTATTTTTATCCCTCCCTTGCTCCTGCTATAGAGACTCAAGAGATTAAATGTAACTAAGGAACATATGTATATGTATCCCAGAGGGAATCTGGAGCATGTGAAGCTGTCAATCAACCCACCTGAGCATATAACCCCAGCGGTTTCTTCGTGGCTGCAGTCGTGTTCTCCCCATGGACTTGCTGGGCACTCACTGAGGGCGGATTCCATCCCTCCACATCTGACATCATCGAGGCCAATGGGGACACTTCCATTTCCAAACTGTGCTTCATGTGTGGCAGAGACTGCAGATCCACAGCCCAGCTGGCGGCAGACAACCATGGCCTCCTCAATGCCCCAACTGTCGTCACAAACAGATGTCCACTGACCAGAAAGGAAGACTTCAACCCTTCCACTGCAGAGATTTGGACCTTCTGCCAGCCTGATCTCCATGTGGTCTGACTCTGCAATACTTGAGCTCATTACTACACGTAGAGGAAACAGAATGGCAAAAATGCTTTAGCAGATGGCATCAGAACAATTTCTTCTCTGGGTTATCCTTTTTAAAAGGCAGAAACACAGACAGGCACATTTTGTCACATGTGATGGTCTTGTAGAAAAACACACAAATATTGGAAGAATGTATATGAGATGACACAGGAAATATTGAAGACAAGACTCCAGGTGAAACCAGAGTATTTTTAATTGGAATAACTGACATAAAATGGGATCAAACCAAAGACATTTTATTTAATTATTTTACTCCTGCAGGAAGAATAATGCATGCAAAAAAATGGAAGGCCAAAGGAATCCCAACAAGAGGAGAATGGTGGTTACTAAAGATTTCTGATATTATGAACATGGACAACTGCACACATCATCTGAAGAACTACCAAGGTATCCCAAAAAAGAAAACAGATTGGACTCTATTTAAAGAATATTTGATACAAGAAGAAATAAAATTTTTAATTTGAACTCACAAAATAGTACTAAAAAGGTACAGGGTTGAGAGTGGAAGCAAGGAAAAATAAAGAAAAAGAAGAAGAAAACTATAACAGAATGAAAATGATTGGAAGTCAACATACCTTTTTTTCTGCTTTTTTGTCTGCTTTTTTCCCCCTCTCGCACCCCTTCCTTCCTTCTCCCCTCTATCCTTTTATATATTTGAATCAAGGACATTTAATGGACTTTAAAAAAATTTCTATCACTCACTCCGCTTGCCTTTCCTTTGACCTCAGTCTTCCCTATCTGGTGCTTTAATTTGATTAATCATGTAAAATAGATAATAATCAAAATTGCCTTTAAAAATGGCAGAAATATTGGTTTGCTCGAAATTGCAGTTGCTGGATCTCAACAAGCAAAACAGTACGTCCAAACAATTCAAAGTTTCAAAACAGCTTATGAAAACCTCTTTAAACTCGAACCCAGGGAGAACATATAATAATGGAGACAAGTCAGTGAGGCAATGATGCCTCACACACACCTTGGGGGCAGGATTAGCATTCACCCCCCACCCCATAAAGCAGAATCAGCATTAATAAACAAGCATCAAAAGCGAAAACAGACTCATTTTGGGGGTAGAGGAGGGGGCCACTATGCAAAACTGATTAAAGGATAGGGTGGTTACCTATGATATTCTGGAATGCACAGAAAGCGACCATTTCTCATTAGGAGTGCCCTTGGGTCCACTCCTTGAACAGGCAGAATTAGCCAGAACAGAAAATTTAACAGGAGAATTGCTGGGAGAAAGGAGGCTGAAGTGGCCAATTGGTCTAAGAGAAATTACACAGCAACTTTTTGATGAGCATACGTCAACAACTTTGTAACAAGTCAGCAAACCATCTAGATATTTACCAACAAACTGTAAACAAGCTTAGACCATGCATAACAACTTCTACATATAAAAACTTTCAATCCACAATATATGGTTGATTTGACACTCAGTGCAGGGCAGGCAAAAGAGATTTGGCAAATATTATTTATTTATTTATTTATTTCAGTTACTTCTACCTCGCCCTTCTCACCCCAGAGGGGGACTCAGGGGGGCTTACAAAGGCACAATTCGATGCCGGCATCAACATAACAGTAGAATAAAAACAATATAGCAGCAATTAAACAATTAACAATCAGTTTCTGCACCGCAACAATAAAACAAATAAAACCGATTTCACCTAATTAACACTCAGCGTTCGCCATCTCATAGTCCAAATTCCAATTCCACTTTGTCAGTCCTGTCAGTCCTAGTTGTCCAATTGTCTTTATCTAGTTGTCAGATTGCCCGAAGGCCTGGTCCCACAACCACGTTTTTAATTTCCTCCTGAAGGAGAGGAGGGATGTTGATGACCTAATTTCCCCGGGCATGAGTTCCATAGGTGAGGGGCCACCACTGAAAAGGCCCTGCTCCTCATCCCCACCAACCTCACTTGTGATAGCGGTGGGGTCGAGAGCAGGGCCTCCCCAGATGATCTCAAGCTCCGAGGTGGGACATAGAGGGAGATGCGTTCAGACAGATATGCTGGACCGGAACCGTATAGGGTTTTGTAGGTCAAAACCAGCACCTTGAATTGTGCTCGGAACTGAACCGGCAGCCAGTGGAGCTGGCACAACAGGGCGGTGGTGTGCTCCCTGTATGACGCTCCGGTGAGCAATCTGGCTGCCGCTCGCTGGACCAGTTGAAGTTTCCGAACAGTCTTCAAGGGCAACCCCATAGAGTGCGTTGCAGTAATCTATTCAGGATGTAACAAGAGCGTGGACCACTGTGGCCAGGTCAGGCATCCCAAGGTATGGACGCAACTGGTGCACAAGTTTTAATTGTGCAAAAGCTCTCCCGGCCACCAGGAGAGAATCTCATAAAATAAGAGAATCTCATAAATATCCATCTGGAAAAAATATGGAGAACACAACCGAATGTACGACAAAATATAAAAGTCTACTCAAATATAAGAAAGGCAAACACACAAAATCCAAGTGGCAAGACCTGGACCAGGCACTCACAGAACAGAAGGAAGATCAATTTTGGGAACTTGTCACCAGAGGAACACAAGGAATAAGATACACATCAAAAGCCTCAATCTCTCCATCTACATGGATTAAGAATTTTTTGCTCCAAGACAAGTACATTGGAAATCACAGGGCCAGACAAAAGACAGGTTACTTTATCTGAGTGGGAAGCAGTCTCTAGCAAAGAGGTAAAATCGTTAATTGCATCCTTGAAACCCAAGAAAGCACCTGGAGAAGATATGCTTCCTCCAGAACTCTTCAAGTAACATGTTGAATGGTGAAGCCCCTTCCTTGCTAACCTCTTGACCAGCATAAACAGCACAGCACTAATGCCATGTTGGTGGAAAATGAGTATTATAGTTCCAATCTATAAGAAAGGTGAGAGAAACAACCCACAAAACTACTGCCCAATCAGCCTACTTAACATCACCTCAAAGCTATATGTTCAACACCTGCTATACAAACTGACAGACTGGCTACAATTCATATATGAAGGACAGGCTGGGGTCCGAAATCAATATAGCACCATAGACCAATGCTTCACATTAAATCACATCATAAAAAAATCTTTCTTCTTTTTTGTGAAAAATATAGCTTAATACAAATTATTTATATATAAAAAAATAAACCCTTTTTGAATAAGGATAACATCCCTAATCCAAATGGTCAGAATTATCATCAGACTAACTATGTCATTTATTATTAGTCGTATTCTAAGGTAAATCATCTTCAGGGCTTCAGTCAGTAAGCACCATTTTAGGCCCCTTCTGCTCTAATTTATAATCCTGTTTCTGAATCCCAATTATCGGTTTTGAGCTGGATTATATGGCAGCCAAGGCTCATACAATCCAGTAAAGACACGTTATTTGGATTCAGAAACTGCGTTATATGTCAGTGTTGATCCAGCCTTAGAAAGAGGAGGAAGACTAAGAAAAGAAGCCAATTCAGTTAGTCCCATGAGAAAGTTCCTGAGAATGCAAGGGGGGAAATACATGTTTGTTTGTTTATTATTATTTACTATATTTGCATACCACTTTTCTCAGCCCTTGGGTGACTCCTGTCTCCTCTTTCCACCCTGTCATTACACCACCACTGGTCCCACTCCATTTCAACCTGTGCTACTCACCAAGGAAGGCGATGCCGAGAGAGAGCCACATGCTGAAAGGCCACTCAGCTCTTTGCTCAGCAGTCCAAGCTTTATGTCTCCGCAAGTGGAGCTCTCAGCGGAGGCTGCAGCTTCGGAAATGCAGTGTTGCTCAGGAACGCTCCTCTGCCCTGCTATCCTTTATCAGTTCTCTTTGCTTTGAGAAAGAACACATCACGTGTCACCCTATAGACCACATCCCGTTTTAATCTGGAGCCAAAAAGCAAACTAGATGAACAGACCAGACGCCAAAGTCCTCATCTATACCACTGTATTGATTCAACCTGCAGGACCTCTTTAGTGTTGAATTGAGGAGCCATCCTTTATTGTAGACTAAACACAACCAATGGGATAGTGTTTTGTTTGGTCCCTTTGGAGAAGAATGTATGGGATCCTCTCTAGAGTCCTTGTTATATTCTGATGGATGCTTGTCCATCTTGGCAAACAGATGAAGTAATTACAACTTGCCTTATGACTAAACCTGCAGAGAACACCTATGCAAAATATCACTTTTTGTCATTGTACTGTCCTGAGCCTTTTGTTCAGCCAAGTTCTTTCTCTCTCATTCATAATTCTTGAATTTTGGTGCTACTATGAAGGCATTGTTATTGTTGTCTCATAACACATCCATGTAACGTTGCCAGATGTCAAGGCCTAGACCTAGGTCTCCAATTTTCAGGTTCAGCTCAACGGGGGAGGCCAGTTTTGGAGGACTCACCTCTAGTCAGGATGAAGCAATTGTATCTTCATATTCAGTTCACCCAGGAGAGCAACAGTTTGCTACAATTTGCAATGCTTCGTAGATTGCTTGCTGCAACTGGTAAACATTCACTTAGTGGGCCTGAGGTCTACATATCAGCAGTACAATGCTATGTAATGCAGTTTGAATCTGTATTATGGTCCATGTATAGAATCATGGAATCATACATCTGGAAGAGACTGCATGGCTAACTAGTCCAACCCCCTGCCATGCAGGATAAGCACAAAGTACCCCTGACAGAGGGCCATCCACCCTCTGCTTAAAAGCTTCCAAAGAAGAAGCTTCCACCAGACTCGGAGGCAGAGAGTTCCATTGCTGAACAGTTCATCTTACAATCAGGAACTTCTTCCTAATGTTCTGGTGGAACCTCATTTCCTGCAGTTTTGTCTTAGTCTCTGAGGCAGCAGAAAGCCAGCTTGTCCCATGCTCAATCTGACATCTCTTTAAATATTTAGACATGGCTATATTATGTCTCCTTTCAGCCTCTTTTGCTTCAGGCTAAACATACCCAACTCCTTCAGCCTCTCCTCATTGGGCTTTTCCTCCTCATCTTCTTCCATTTGCGTCACCCTTCTCTGGATACCTTCCAACTTCCCAATGTCCTTCCTGAATTGTGGGGCCCAGGATTGGACACAATGTTATTCGCAATGGGATTGGAAAGGAGCAGAATAGAGTGAGACTCGTTTTTCCCTCAATGAGTCCAAATCTCTATCCCTTATACTACACTGAAGTAGAATGTGCCTCACGATTGTCTAACCTTTAGAGGTACAAGTCTCCAGCCCATCTTCCAACTGCAATGACATTTGGATTACTGAAACATGCTCTATCTGAGGCTACTTTTGAAGAATGTTTGGAAATGTCACTCAGCCCAGAGACCCCCTCCTCCCTGTGATGCCACTGCCATGCCCGTCCTAAGTTTGGAGGTACCAATCTTTCTTCAGAAATGTTTTTGTAAAGGAAATGCTAAGTTATCATCTCAGCTGTGGACAGGAAGCAAGTGGGCTCACTGATAGAGTTCCTAAGCAATGGCAGAGATGTGGGAGATATGAGAATATGCACACAGATAGGAAGATTGTGATCTTTAAAAAAAGCTGTTATTACGAAATAAGCTCAGAGAGTAAAACAGTCTCACGAGAAGAGTGAAATAGCTGAAGGAAGGCAATGGGAAAAAAACCCCAGGTCAGAATTGTACTGGAAAGGGCTGATGATTCTTAGAGGAACTCCAGAGGCGACTCAAGATGGTTCATAGTCGATAGCGATTTGATGCCATAACAAATATCAAAATACAGTTAAAACAATTATAAAAACAATTCAACATTTAAAATGTAACACAAAAAGCAATCTGAAGCCTTCTCAATGTTGGGGGGTCTACATAACACCAAAATAATATATACCCACAAGTAAATGGTCAATAAACTGGTATAACATACAAACGTATATTGCATGAGTACAGAATTTACAATTGTTGATGCTCCATATATCAAAATGAATATATATGTAAACAATGCGTGCTCTATGTATAGTTTTGCCGCTTGTATAATCTATCAGTTGAACCGAAGAGCATGTAGAACACATGACCGGTTTCGACTCTTGGTCCTCCGACTTTTGATGGGGTTATAGCCACTATTTGTTCCATTTGTTTCAAACCCACCATTAGAAAAGGATATAAGAATACAAACTTGAGAGAGGAATGTAAAGTGCTTTCATGAGAGTGTACAACAGTGAGTGCTTATACCAGATTCATGACTGTATTTATGTGGATTTGTTATATGCTCCTATTAATTTATTATAATATTCTCAGATAAATTCACCTGAGGAAGACTGAGTCGAAACTGGTCATGTGTTCTACATGCTCTTCGGTTCAACTGATTGATTTCACAAGCGGCAAACCTAAGTATAGAGCACACATTGTTTAGTTATATATTCATTTTGATGTACGGAGCATCAACAATTGTAAATTCTGTACTTATTGTATTTCATTCAATATAAGTTTATATTATGTACCAGTTTATTGACCATTTCCCAGTGTATATTGTTGTACTTGTGGGTATATATTATTTTGGTGTAGAATCAGGAACCCATTTGATAGAATCATGGAGTTGGAAGAGACCTCATGGGCCATCCAGTCTGACCCCCTGACACATTACTTAATATGTGTCTACTTAACAAACATCAGTCTTAGCTCTTGAGTGTTTTTGTTTTCTAAACGCAGAGTCTTGAGATTTTATCAGAGATTTTGCTTAAAGATTAGGAAGAACTTCTTTACTGGAAATGACACGCAAGAGTGGAATAAACCACCTTTGAGTTTAGGGGACTCTCCTTTTTGGGAGGTTTCCAAACAGAGGTTGTGTGGGTGTCTTTCAGGAGTGCTTTAGTTGTGTATTCCTGGATAGCTCCATGGCTGTAGGATTCTATCATCACTGATGGTGGTGAGAGAGGTTCCTGGCCCCTGCTGCCTGTCAAGTGAGCTGCGGAATAGTTTCATGGTTTCATTCTATACATCTCTTGCCTTGTTTCATCCACATTGTGGTTTTTAAGATCATAATCATATCTACCACATCTCTCACATCTCTGTTGAACTCTCTCTCTAATGACATCAGGTTGGCCACCTCCCTCCTGTCCTTTAGAAGACAACTGAAGACCTGGCTCTGGGGCCAGGCATGCAATTAGAGGCCAGCGGCAATAGGTAAAGGAAATCTGGATTTTGCAACATGGACTCTCCCACCTCGGCTTGGTTTTACTGGCACATTAATCTATTAATTTATTGGTAAATTTCACTGAAGATGTTATACAATGTTTTAAAATGATTTTATTGTGAATTGTAATTTTTATGGTATTTATGCTGTTAGCATCCTCTGATGCCCATGTGAGGCCGCACTGAGTCCCCCTTGTGGGGAGAAGGGAGGGATATAAATATATGAAATATATGAAATAAATAAATAAATAAATATCTCAATGCCTCCTGCCAAACATCCCAGATCCTTTCTTCTGCAGACTCTGCTCTGAGGAAGCTTCAATCAGCATGCTCTTATGAGATAGGCATGAGTAAGTCATGTTACCCAGGAAGGGTGGAATATTCACCAAAAGGCAAGGGATATATCGTGCTAACTGAAGGAGAAAAGGAATAGCCCTTACGTTTCATGGTGCAAGAGTACCCAGTCATTGACGTATCTTGCACAACATTCACACTCTGTTTGGGGGCTGAGTTTGCTGTTGCAGTTTATCTCCACTTGGAGATATTTATACTACACTGAGAAGTTGTGGCTGGAAACTCCTCAAGTATCAAGTGTTTGGAGCTTGTTTTAAAAACAATCACATCCTGATGTCTAGGCTTCCTGTTCCAGGATACATTATCATAATGCAAAGGTTTTCCCCAAATTCTCTTTAAATGTATGTTGACATCTACCATCAGTTTCACTTCTATTAGATTGTCAATAAAGTTGGTATCAATCAAGCAGAAAACAAAAGCTAGTTTTCTCTCAGCTACTTAGTTTAGGATCCTTTGTTTTATCCATCCGCAACTGTTCCATAGTCACGACTTCTGCTTAGTAACAATGGTGACACAACTGTAATTCCTTTCAATCTACTTTAAGGGGCAGGAGCCCATGGAGAGAAAGAGGTCCATTCTGCTGGCAATGGGAGCATGGGGAGAGGACATTGCTCTCGGCTGGGAGAACATTTCAGGCAAAAAGATTACTTACTTTTGTAGCTAAGTAATGATAGAGAATACTGGACAACACAGCATACAATTTTTCATATATATTTTTGTGCAGAATAAATCCTTGCTATAGTCCTGCCTTGTGTAAGCATTGACCCAAGACAGTAAGCTTCCCTTGACTTAGTGAGGGTCTAGTTGTCTGATGTGACCTCTTGTTTCTGGTCTTCTCCTGTAAATAAAAGGAAGGGCAAAGGAAAGAGCTACTTTGCTCTTGGAGGAGTGATCAACGGACTACCCGAAGCTCGGTGGCTGCTCCCAGGTAGAGAACTCCTTCCCTAAGAGGCTGGGATGGCTCCTCTCTTGGTCTCCCTCTGCTGGGAGGTTCCCATTTTCCTATTCTGCCAGAGCTTTCATGAATCAACTGTGCTTGGCTTTTTAACAATGTGACATGCTATTTTGTTGGTTGATATTGCTTTTAAAGTGAATTTTAAATGGTTTAACTGTACTGATGATTTAATATTTTCTAAAATATAACTTTGTGAGAATGAGTGTCTTAATTGGAAAAATAACTGTCTACAGTGATCCAGAATGTCTTTGTAGCAAATGTGTTTGAGCTAAAATAAGAAGCTGAAGACCAGAAGAATGAGATCAAAATGGAGAAAAGCCTCAATGCATGATGGCATGCAGGTTCTGGCAGCCAAAAGCAAGGAATTGTTAGGGATTCCTCATCTTCGGAGGAGGAAGGGGAGCAGGGAAGTGCTCAGAAATTGGGGAGAGAGGAAGAGTCAGATGATGAGGCATTGCAGGTGCCTCCTTGTTTAGAGGGACGAAGGGAGACAGAGCACAGACGCAGATCAGCTCAAATAGCTGCTAAAAGATGCTGAGCTAATTAGGAGATGCCCTAGTACAGTGGTTCTCAACCTGGGGTCCCCAGATGTTTTTGGCCTACAACTCCCAGAAATCCCAGCCAGTTTACCAGCTGTTAGGATTTCTGGGAGTTGAAGCAAAAACATCTGGGGACCCCAGGTTGAGAACCACTGCCGTAGTACCTCCTGCGTGGGGAATTCAGGGCTATAAATCAGAGGCAGGTTTTAGTCAGTTTCCGCTGGTAATAACAACCCTGATGGTGCTGTTTCCACTTCTATGGAATTCTGCTTTGTGTCCGCTGCTAAGAACTTTGTTCATTGTCTGTTGTCTGATGGAAGACTGGTGTTCCTTTTAGGACCTTGTAGGAAACTTGAATTTGTGTCTGGATTAAGACTTCCTTGGTTTCTTTTGCACTTTTCAATTGCATTTTGCATATCCTTTGTGTTTGCTGGAGTAAAGCATTTTTCTTTTACTTTCAATATTGTCTAAAGGCTGTTTTTGAAGGGCAACTCAGGACAGGAATATCTGAACCATGAACCGGACTTTACCAACATGTTGAATGAAGAACATCAAGGACTTGTACAGTCAAAGGAGTATTGCCCTTTGTCATTGTAGGGGGCTGTGTTTTGTAATTTTTTTTTATCCTTTACCTATATGAACCTTACTCAAAATCTGGACCCACCCATACACTCGACCTAGTTTTTGTGGCAGAAAGTGGAATGATCAGAGTGGAAGAACAAAACATCCTTCCGGTGTCATGGTCTGATCACTATCTGATCAGTTTTAGACTTTCTGCAACCCTCGACCTTCGCAGGGGTGGAGGACAGGTTAAGATGGTCCACCCCAGGAGACTGATGGATCCGGATGGATTCCTGAGGAATCTTGGGGTTCTTTCTGCCATGGAGCCTGGCGATTCTATCGACGCCTTGGTGGATCTCTACAATAGGGAGATGTCCAGGGCGATAGATACGATCGCTCCCGAACGCCCCATCTCGTTGCGTCGTGACAGGCCGTCTCCCTGGTTCAATGGGGAGCTGGCTGTGATGAAGCACACGAGAAGGGGACTAGAGCGCAAGTGGAGGAGGTCTCGGGGCGTGTCTGACCAAGCACGGGCTAAAGCCTCACGTAAGGCATACTCCGTGGCTATACGGGTGGCCAGGGAATCTTTCACGACCACCCGTATAGCGTCTGCAGCAAATAGATCATCTGAGCTGTTTCAGGTTGTTGGGGAACTCCTTCACCCACTTGTGGTGGAGGAGACCTTTGACGACCCAGCAACTCGGTGTTGCGAGTTCGCACACCATTTGGCAGGCAAAGTTGCTCAGATATGCCTTGAGCTCGACTCCAATTCCATCGCAGTGCTTGTCCAATTTTGTGGGATTCTTTTAGGCTTGTTCTTCCTGAAACCGTGGAAGAGGTCCTTGGGGTGGTGAGAGCGACCACTTCGACTCTGGACCCTTGCCCATCTTGGCTAATTAAATCGGCCAGGGAGGGGTTGGTTGATTGGTTTGTGTTGATCATTAATGCATCGTTGGAGCAAGGGATTTTTCCATCTAATTTGAAGCAGGCTGTGGTTCGTCCACTCTTCAAGAAGGCTTCCCTTGACTCCACGGTGCTGAACAATTACAGACCGATCTCCAACCTCCCTTTTTTGGGCAAGGTGCTGGAGCGGGTGGTCGCCTCCCAGCTCCAGGGCTTTTTAGATTACATCAAGTACCTAGATCAGTCACAGTCTGGTTTCAGGCCTGGTCATGGCACCGAGACAGTCTTGGTCGCTTTGGTGGATGACCTCCGTAGAGAGCTGGACAGGGGGAGTGTGACTCTGTTGGTTCTCTTGGACATCTCAGCGGCTTCGATACCATCGATCATGGTATCCTTCTTGGGACTCTCTCGGGATGGGTCTTGGGGGCTACGGCTTTGTCATGGCTCGGTCCTTCCTGGAGGGTACTCATATGGTGAAGCTGGGAGACGCCTGCTCTGACCCCTGGCCTTTGACCTGTGGGGTCCCGCAAGGCTCTATTCTGTCTCCCATGCTATTTAACATCTACATGAAACCGCTGGGAGAGGTCATCCGGAGTTTTGGAGTTGGGTGCCATCTCTACGCAGATGACACACAACTCTACTACTCTTTTCCACCTAATTCCAAGGAGGCCTCTCGGGTGCTGGATGAGTGCCTGGCCACTGTGTCTATCTGGATGAGGAGGAACAAGCTGAAGATCAATCCCGACAAGACAGAGGTCCTCCTGGTCGATCGTAAACCTGACTGGGGTATAGGGTGGCAACCTGTGCTGGACGGGGTTACACTCCCCCTGAAGCCACAGGTCCGCAGTTTGGGAGTCCTCTTGGATTCATCGCTTACGCTTGAGGCTCAGGCGTCGGCGGTGTCTGGGAGGGCTTTTGCACAATTGAGACTCGTGCGCCAGCTGCGACCGTACCTCGCGAAGGCTGATCTGGCCGGGGTGGTCCATGCCTTGGTCACCTCTAGATTGGATTACTGCAATGCGCTCTACGTAGGGTTGCCCTTGAAAACGGCTCGGAAATTCCAACTGGTCCAACGGGCAGCAGCCAGGATGTTAACCGGGGCTCATTACAGAGAGAGGTCAACCCTCCTGTTGACCTCTCTCTGTAAGAAGCCCCGGTTAACATCCTGGCTGCTGCACGTTGGACCAGTTGGAATTTCCGAGCCGTTTTCAAGGGCAGCGCTATCAAGCCGTTTTCAAGGAGCTCCACTGGCTGCTGTTTATCTTCCGAACCCAATTTAAGGTACAGGTGCTTACCTACAAAGCCCTAAATGGTTTGGGACCACCCTATCTGCGTGACCGCATCTCCGTCTATGAACCCACACGATCGCTTCAGTCATCTGGGGTGGCCCTGCTCGTAGTCCCGCCCGCGTCACAAGCGCATTTGGTGGGGACCCGAGACAGGGCCTTCTCTGTGGCGGCTCCCCGACTCTGGAACGCCCTCCCAAAAGATCTCAGACAGGCCCCTACATTGGCAGTCTTCAGAAGGAATTTGAAGACCTGGCTATTCCGATGTGCCTTCTCAGATTAGGAACCTCCAATACCAAGTCCTAGAAGCACTTTATTAGAATTAAGATTGCCGCACTCTGCACACTGCACTTACTTATAATCCTGCATACCTCCTGCCACATCAGCACTTTTTAATCTTGTACCCATTAATCTGGCCTGGCCCAGTTTTATAATGTCTTGATGGATTGTTTTATTGTTGCTGTTTATACTGCTTAACTGTTTTATTTTGCTTTGGTATTGTATTGTTGTATTGTGTTTGAGGCCTTGGCCTTTGTAAGCCGCATCGAGTCCTTCGGGAGATGCTAGCGGGGTACAAATAAAGATAATAATAATAATAATAATAATAATAATAATAATAATAATAAATCTTGTTTTTCTATGAAAGTGTTGACAGGACATGTTCTGCCTGACATTTGCTATTTGCTCACAACATAAGGTCATGCAAACCGCAGTAATGAATTGGCTTGCTGGATAATGCATACGTGGGATGAAGTATGAACATGTCACCTGAGGATAGTGCATACATGGAACAAACTATGGACACTCTCTCCCTCTAACCCAGTGGACACTTCACCTGACATGATGAATAATAACTTATATAACTTTACAAGACAACTACGGATGTCCAAAAGGATTGTAATAATCAGCAAGTTCCATTGTTAGCTCTCTGCGCATGCTTGTGTAAAACTCTCTAAATTGGAAAGCCAGCACAGGAAAGGTGTGGCGGTGCATTTTCCGGGCATTAGCTAACTGTCACCTGCTCTTGGCCAAAAGTAAACTATCTTGAAGACAACTTGTGTTGTCAGTCTGCTTTCTTCACCCGCATCCAAACGAAATTCTGCAACATCATGATGGACTGAACATGAACTGAGTGGGAGGGGGACATGAGAGATTGTTCTTTCAACATGACTGATCAAGTGTAGACTAAGTTAAGAAGTAAGTTGTGGACTACGTTGGAGCCCCCAGTGGTGCAGTGGGTTAAATATGGACTATGTTGAGGAATAACAAAGGAATAACTCCCTGATACCAGAACCAAGTCATGGAAGGAATGATGAGATTACATGAAATGGAACGTAATGTTTATTGCCATAGAAGTCATAGACTAAACTTGCTCCTAAATAATATAAAAGAAGAGCTTCTTCTGATCTGGCTGTTGCTGTCAAATGAAGCACTGCATCAGCATCCCCTCACTTCTGCAAAGGAAACTGATCAGTCCTTTGTGAGAAGATTGGTGAGTGTGAGTGAATGTGTGTGAGCATGGTTCCGCTTGGTGCCAAGGCAATGTATGATTTTAAATGCTGAATAAAAGTTACATGCATAGTGTTTAAACCCAGATCTGGTGTCACTGATATATTCTCCAGAGCTATAGTCTCAAGTGTGCAGATTATGCAGTTTCTCCTCTTCTACAAAGAAAGGACACAAACTGTGTATTTGTGACAACTTTTATAACACACTCACACTTGAACTGAGTGTCACTAGATGAATGGGGCTCATTAATTGGGGTTTTCAAAGTGCTCCTGAGTGGGAAATGTAGAAGTAGGCATAAAGAACCCAGATCCACACAGGTAATTAAGATTCATTACATGGTTTATTGATATAGCATGTTAAATTCAGGAACATGAAAGAAATAAAAGTAATGTGAATTTCAGTGATTACAGGAGTTGTTTTCATTGTGTGCCTTTAAGAAATTCCTAATTTATGGTAAGGTTCAGGAGAACCCGTCATGGAGAATTAGGGTTTCCATGGCCAAAAGGAGCCCTGGTCATGGTCCTCTCCTTCTCCTGCTTATTTGTTTCCCACATCTCCTCATGGCTTCAGGTGGTGTAGAACACAGTTAAAGCATTGTATTATAAAACACATATCATGAAATACAAATATTAAAAATTACCATAAAATGCATGTAATTAAAAAGCATAGTACAAGGATAAAAATGCAATACTAATAGAGTGTAAATTGAACATTCATAATATAAAATGGACTGGGCAGGTCTGACTGAAAAGAGCACAAATTAATCCCAAAACAGTACATTAAAAAAACAACTCAACAGAATGTTTTGAAGAAGCCAGAAAATCCATTGCAGCCAATCAGAGTATATATCCCATACAGGGCTCAAAATGATCCCCTTGACTCCAGTTCTAACTTTAATACTTCTATTTCTCCACTGAACAAATCTGACTCTGACTTCTCCATAAATGACAAATGCATAGTAATAAGACATTGATGGCTGTGGAATGAGAGCACAAGGCGTTTTATTCCCACCACGTCAATCACCCATCTTCTTAGAAAGACAAAAAGGTAAGATTTATTTATTTGATTAACATTTCTGAAGAAGGAAACTTCCCTAACTTCCTAAGACAGTACATATGTAATAAGACATTTATTAATTTTTTAAAAAAATGCATACACACACACACACACACACACATATACAATGATATATGATATTTATTCACTGTATATTGTTATGCTGATAGATTTGGAAGCTTTTAAACAGGCTGGATGGCCATCTGTCAGGGGTGATTTGAATGCAATATTCCTGCTTCTTCACAGGGGGTTGGACTGGATGGCCCATGAGGTCTCTTCCAACTCTTTGATTCTATGATTCTATTTCCATGGACTCTCACTGCACATGACATTCCTTCTGCCTCTGGTTCCACCGTACTGGGAGACAGACCTTGGTCCCTGGAACTGGCCGGTGAAGAGGGCTACTCAAGGCTGCTGCTCTCTCCTCTTCCTCCTCCTCCTCCTGATGGTCTTCCTCCTTCTCCTGCATCCAGTCTCAGCCACAATCCCCATCAAGGCAAGGAAGGCCGGTGAAGAGGGCTACTCAAGGCTGCTGCTCTCTCCTCTTCCTCCTCCTCCTCCTGATGGTCTTCCTCCTTCTCCTGCATCCAGCCTCAGCCACAATCCCCACCAAGGCAAGGAAGACCACGGCAGCCACTCCCAGGTGAATGCTGATCTCAAGGGAAGATTCAACAGCTGGCAACAAAGATGGAAGGCTAGCTCAACCATTGACTGCAATGTGAAGTTGCTGTTAGCTAATCCCTGACTGGCAAGCCATTTCTTCTGCTGTGGTTCTAGCATTGCAAGAAGCAAACTGAACAAACTTTTAGCTCTGTAGTAATATCAGCTGGAATTCTGTGTCAGCAGCTTAATAAAGGGGGTTAGGCTTGCTGACCACTCTAAACTCTGCACCAAGGGAAGGAAGAAGCCCCCGGTGGTGCAATGGGTTAAACCCTTGTGTCGGCAGGACTGCTGACCAAAAGATCAGCTGTTCGAATCTGGGGAGTCGGGGTGAGCTCCCATCTGTCACCTCTAGCTTCCCATGCAGGCACATGAGAGAAAGCCTCCCACAGGATGGTAAAACATCTGGGCATTTCCTGGGCAACATCCTTGCAAATGGCCAATTCTCTCACACAAGAAGCGACTTGGTGTCTCCGAAGTCGCTCCTCACACACACACACACAAACCAAGGGAAGGAAGCCAGAGCTGACAGATGGGAGCTCACCCCACCTCCCTAGATTCAGTACAGAGGTTGAGGCGATTTGACGTCATTTATTCTAGTCCTTGATTATCAAAATATCAGCAAGAGATGCTTGGTACACATTTTATCCCCCCCCCCCCCACACACATGTTGAGAGCATTAGAAGAAATAATGTTGGTTGCTATCAGCTACACAAAACGTTGGAGATCATGGGAAACAAGTGTGATGCTAAGAAAAACACGGGAAGGTAGAAGTACAAGTGCTAAATGGGCTTGTCGTGGTCTTTGGGGCCTTTGAGGGGGGGGGGGTCCTGCTTCTTTTTGTCCATCGTTTCTTCAAAGATAAAAGACATAGACTGCATGTTTAAGGTTTAAAGATTTTGCAGCTGTCTCACAAAAAAGTAATATCTGGAATGGGCTTTGGGAGGAGCCTTTCCTCTGTGGAGACACAATGCTAATAATAAAAAACTGGAAGGAGCTATTGAATATATCTGACGTAAAGGGTGGGTTATAATATTTTTGAGATATATAGTTTTAGACCCAGCCATCAAGCCATCTAGATGGCACTCAAAACTTTTTTCCAGAACAGCTGATGGTTCTAAAAGAGAGAGGCTCTTGTCCTGACCTTGATCATTTTGGGGAGGCATGAACCTGATCTAGGTTTCAGGAAGTGAAACATGTGAAAGGCATGTACCTGAACACTCCACGCTGGCATCCTGGTTGTGGCTGCAACTGTGCGCTCCCCAGCCTCCCTTCTGGCACTCCTTCAGGGATGCTTCTTCTCCTGTACAGTTGACGCTCTCCAGCCAAACAGGGCCCGATCCTTGGCCATAGTGTGCTCCACCCAATGCTTTGGGGGCATCTCCACAGCCCAGCTCCCTGCAGACCACTTGGGCATCTTGTAAATCCCAGCCAGCATCACAAATGGTCCCCCACGTGTCATTGTGAAAAACTTCAACCCTCCCTGAGCAGGAACTTGTGCCATTCATCAAACGGAGATCTTTAAAAGAAAATGAATGGTGAGGAGAGAGTTATAAGCAAAGGTTTTGTTGTTAGAATTCACTAGACTATAAACACTGAATCCATTGATTTTACCTATGTTGATTCATCATTCAACCAATGAATACTCTAGCTGGGAATAACCAGCAGGATGCCAGTCATTGTGATGACTTTGAATCAAACTGGTAAAATAGAAGAATTTAGTATGAGGGTGCCTTGGTCCCAGACATGGCCACTCGATGTAACCATTGGAACTGAGGTCTGCTCTCAACCAAACCTGGAACATATGCCCATCATGACCAACTTAAAACACTGGTGGGGTTGGGGGACAATGACAGAGGATGATGATGATGATGAGAGTTATGGCCCACCCACATCTGGAGGGTTATGTGTATCCAGCCACAGTGCCTTTGATGTTCCATTTACAATGATGGTGGGGTTGGGGAGAAAAGAAAGAGGATGATGGAAGTTGAAGTCCACCCAAATCTAGAGAGTGCCAGGTCCAACCCAGCCAGATCTGGCAGATGAGATTTCCAGCAGGAAAGATTGGGGATTGATGGGAGTTGAACCCACCCAGATCTGGGGATGATGGGAAATCCACCTGGCCAGATCTGATCCTGATGGGATTTGCAGCCAACCAGTTTTTGTTCTTAAGGGAGTTGCAGCCTCAGCAGGTTTGGGGCTGATGGAAATTTGAATCTCATTAATTATCAACAAGTTTTCAGTTTCTGTCAGTTACCTGAGCACACAGCACCAGCATCTTCTTCATGACGACACTCGTATAATGTATGCATTTTGTAAATGCACTTGTGGAGGGCATCCTCTGTCCCATTGCATTGGACTTCATTTATCAAGATGGGATCTTTTCCTTTTCCAAAGTGGGCTTCTTCGGGGGCTGACACAGCTCCTCCACAGCCAAGTTCTCTGCACACGACTTGAGCATCACTCAGGTCCCATCCATCATCACACACTGTTCCCCACGCCCAATTGTATAGCACTTCGACTCTCCCAGAGCAATGGTTTGGACCATTCACCAACCTGGTTTCTATTGGTTTAGGAAGAATCAAAAATGGTTTCATTGATTATCAATCCAGTTCCTTGACTTCTCTTGCATATCTTCCTAGTCATGGGGCCATTCATAGTGAGTTTTCACAACTAGGAGGCTACTTGGCTATTGTGGAATCAATACAGAAACAAGGCTTTGCTATGCAGGTCACCCTATCTCTTAATAATGCTCGTTAGTTGACATTGACTTAGCTGCCCCGAGTCCTGGTTGGGAAGGGGGAGGGATATTTAAAAAGTGTTGTTGTTGTTGTTGTTGGTTTTGTTTTTTTTTGTTGTTGTTATTGACTTCACCTACAAGGCATCCCTTCCCTCAAATTCATAACCAATAATCCACATGTGAATTTGTGAAGCCCTTCTTCTAATTCCTGTAATTCTGTGAATGGTGGAAGTTGAGCTGAGGAAATTGAGTGACAGGTTGGAGTGGAGGTGAGTTTTATAAATTGAGGATAGCAGAGGAATCTCTCCACTCCTTCTATTTCTTTTCAGTTCAAGATTTCCCCACTCCATCTATTTATGGGGAAACTGAAGTTTAATTCCTCTTGGTCAGTTCAGTTCTGTCTAACTGGAGTTTATTTTCTTTTCCTTTTTTACTATGATTGATAGTACCCTCCAATAAAAGAGAGACATAGTTCAACCCATGAAAACTATAGTTTTCCCAAGGACAGAAGGCCAGATGAATTGGGGTTAGACTATAGCAAATGCCACTGATGACCCTTCCAGCTGTTGCTCAGTCATGGAGAAACTCCTCTTCCTCATCCTCTTCTCTCCCCCTCTATAGATGGTTGGTACCAAGCACCTCACCAAGTCTATTCTCTATTTCTATTTTTATTATTATTGTTGTTTAAACTCTATAAAATGAAATTGTGTGCCCAGCATGAGAGCCTGAGATAGGGCATAATCTCTGTGACAAATGACCTTCCTGAACCTCAGTGGGAATCCTGATATCAGCTGCTCATCAGTTCACCTTTCGGGTCCCAGCCACCTGRGAGACAAGGGTCRAAGGTGAAATTGTGATTATGATCCCATCACCCAAAATACTAGGCTTGGTTGATAAAAAAAAATGGTTTAATACTTGTTTCGGATGTAGGGGGCACTGGTGGTTCAATTCTAAAGTCACTTCTGAACTTTTTCAAAACTTTCCAAAACTTCTCAATCACTTCGTTAATGGCAGACATACATGTGCAGTAGGAAAAAAACAGCACTGGCACTGAGGAAACATCAGGGGAATCTCCCTCCCTCATTTTTAGACCAATCCTGATGAAACTTGCTGCAGTTGTAGAACACATGGGCCACTGTTGGCTCACCATATTTCCTCATCTTTGACTTATCCATGGATTTTTGACGAATTTTAATTTTTTTATTAAAAACATTTTTTTAATAATAAAAAAATCTGTGCCTGGTATGAAAGAGTTATTTCCTGTTTCATTGGGTGGTCTTTACTTTGAAAGTAGTTGTTCTACTCCAGAAACTTTGTTTGTGTGGCACAAACTGTGTTAAATTGGTGGAGAACAGAAATCATAGTACAGATCCCATCAAGGGACATCTAGACTGACCCCCTTCTTCTGGGCAGAAAGGCACCATCCAAACTCTCCTGACATCCATTTGCTTCTTCTACTGAGTTGGAGGGGACCCTCAAGACACATCCATCCATTTATTCCTATTTGCAGATGCAATTAATCATTTTATTTTATCATTACTTACTGACTGTAAAAGGCTGCCTGGCTGRGGCTGGCTACCCCAGTGCCTTGTTCATGGCAYTCAGGCCAAAATGAAATGATTGATTTTTAAGCAGTTTGTGTTCTCTTGGCTTTGTAAAAGTTGCTTATTGCTTTGCTGCCTTATTTAGTTTATTTTATATTTAGCGAAGACTGCTACAGACAGCTATAGGGGTCCTTCAGGCATTTTGGCTAATGAGCAGCCAGGCCGTGTGGGAAACGTAGTTTAACAGCAGGGCCTTTTGCAATCTCTACCATTGGGGGCCTGGTCTTCACAAACTACAAAAATGGCTCTGCTTAGCCACGTCCGCCTCATCCCTCCCTTGCATTACCAGGGGAGCGAAAGCATGAGATTTTAAACTTTTTAGGCTTTACCAAAAGTTGCTTAATGGTTGTGAAAATTAAAATAACCTTAGGAGACATCCTAATATTATGGAATATTTGGGGGGGGGGGAGGTAAGTGGTTCAAATTTGGATTCCCTCTCCCCCCCCCCGCCACATCTTTCCTGGTTCAAAACTGCTTTGAAAGCCCAAATTTGGAAGTTTTCTTTTGATTTTCAGGCTCTTCCGAACAAACCTATCAAACTTTACAAAATATATCTTGGGGACTCTTTCTTTGTCCCCTGACATGAGGCAATTTCCCATTGTGGGCAGTGACACCAACATAATCCTGTCAAATAGACTTTCAGACATTCCTTGGTTTACTACATTTAATCATGGTACACCAAGGGGTGGGCACAGCCCCCTGAGCTCCCTCCCTCCTTTGGACRGCCTTTACAAGACCATTGGAAACYTTGGGGCTTCCCTACCCAGCTGGGAGGAGATCCCTGGCTGCYTCATCGGTTCTCGCACCAATCAGAGAAGAAGCCAGCTTGCTCCCACCTCCCAGCCAATCAGAGACCAAGGGGGACATTGGCTGGCTTATCGGAGCTGGCCAATCAGGAAAGAGGTAGGCAAATTTTGAAACTGGACAATGATGATGAATGGGAACTTATGTATATAAAAATGTCTGTTTTATGAGCATGCTCTACACTAGTACTTTGGAGCATCTGTATTGTGCAAGTGTCCTTTTTGCGCGAATTGAATAAAGCCTCTCGTTTGCCTTCATCCTAGTGAGACTGTGCTGGTACAGCTGTACCAGAAGCTCCCACTTTATTTGCCTTGTATTAAGTGTTTGCTTGGGATTTTGCAGAAGGGTGGCTTCCTGTTAAAGTTTGCAGTTATAGGGCAGGCCACCTGTCCATCATCATTAGGTTCCTTAGTTCTGCCCCCTTTTGGGTTTTCAGAAGAGAAGGGAGCCATTTTTAGTCAGTCACACACAAGGAAGCTAGTCTATAGGACGCAGACAGCTCGACACAGACAGCTCATCCCGTAGGAAAAGCTTCATTCCTCATGACCATCCGGGGACCATCCGGGGATCATCTGGGGATCATTCAGGGAAACAGGAACAGAAGGAAAGGACCCTAAAGGCTCTGGCTGAGAGCTCTCAGCCTCACAGCACCAGAGTGGAAAACAGCCCTGAAATTCCCACAGGACAGCATTACAGAACCACTGAATTCCAACTGAAGTATCATCAAGCTTTGGCTGGTAGGTTTACTCGATGCCCAGAAGCAGTTGGGATCGGTAGTAAGACCCAAATCAGCGAGGCCCAGATGATAGACAGCCTGGGAGAGATTATAAAGGGTTCTTCCTCATGCTGAGAAAGTACAGTTAATCCAAGTCAGTGCCAGTCTCTTAAAGACTAGAATAAGAAAGCCTTGAAGTGTTGTTTGAAGATTTGTTATTTGTTCCTTAATAAAGACTTTGTTGTACCATTAAAGACCCTAAAGACTATTACTTCAGGAAATCCCTAAGAATCTCTCTTTGAGGCACCCCGGCTTCCCTTTGCCTTCCCTCCTAAATSCTGCTTCTCTGCCTCAGTCCAAAGTTGCACCCGAGGGAGAGAGAGCACGCCTCAGCCACTCACCCAGCCAGCCAGGCTTCTTTGGGTAGGTAAAGCAGACCTCGCTTCTTGGGCTCTGTGTGTTTATTTGGCTGTGCGGGCATGCATAACATACCCCCTCAGTTGGGTTTCC